CTTGCCAGAGAGGCAAAAGGCCGAGGAAGAGATGTCGGAGACCTCGACAATGTTGTCATCCCAAAGTAATAAGATCCCACCCCTAGTTCCAGTCGTTGGTCGCTGCGCAAAACTTTTCAGCCGGTTGCCACCAAGGAAGGCTGCCACATATTTGTCCACGTTATTAATCTTCGTCTCTTGTAAACACACAATTTGGCACGAAGAGTCTGCAATCGTAGCGCTTACAGTTGCCCTCCTGGCCGGGCAGTTTAGACCCCGTACGTTCCAACTCAGAGTGTTGATTGGTTGTGGTGTCATGGAGCACACCAACATTCACTTTGATCAGTCCAGGAGCGGGGACAAAGGCCATCAGACAGTGGAACAATGTTAATACTGAGCTGAGCTACAAACACCACAAGGGCACATGGGTACTGGACGTAGCCTAACACATGGCCAAGCCAAGCGACACAAGACTTACACATAGGTGAAACTACGGCAGCCGACGGGCTGACACACATTACAGTGAAAGGAAGAACTAACATAATTAACTAAGCAGCCCTAACGATGAACTGGACGAAACGAATCGCTGCCTACTGTGTTCCCAGCAACTACGAAGGAGCAATATGCAAGGTTGGTGCGGCAAGAGAGCACTGAGAACATCTAACTTGTAACAATAGTCGGCAACCGAGCAACTACGAAGGAGCAATATGCAAGGTTGGTGCGACAAGAGAGCACTGAGCCGTACCACTCTCCTTGCCGGAAAAAACGTAATACGGTGCCCGCAGGCATGACGAAGAACCAACTATCACAACCTGGCCGCGACCCCTTCTCCCTCAACCCTAATGTCGTTGCCACACGAGTCATTGACGACAACCGCCTCTAACTAAACCCAACTCTAAGACGATGCCTCCCAAGAGAGAAGCACAACATCGAGTGCCTTCGTCGCCGAATCTAGGAATCCTAATCTAGGGTTTAACCCAGCCATAATCGAGCCTAGCTTTCACCGACAATCTCGCCTCTCGATCCGCGTCCAACTAGTCGAGTTGGCACACTGTTGTCTGTTGCCTCGCAACAGAGAGCCCGACACATGTCCGTCGACCCAATCTGGAGCCCCAACTCCAACCATTGCAGCGCCTTGCCATGACGTATAGGGCTAGCCTAGCCTATGACCAGGGAGTTGCAGACTGTGGGAGACTACCATGTCGTAGAGCTGCATTCGTCAGGAGTCAGAGCCACATGAACTGCCATTGCGGCCACCAGGCCGGTTTGCCTCATTAAGAGTCGCGTCGTGACTCCATGATATGGCCGCGTGTAATTTAAGTACGATGATCACTGTTGATACAACAACTTATTCATCTAGTACTGAATATGCTACAGATGTTTTTCAAGATGAAGATGGATTTGTAGGCATCACATCTAAGCGTGACACAGTTGTACAAATAATGAGCAAGTATGGAGTTATGTTTCTATATTCCCCTAAATCAGGACGTGAAGGAGCACACATGCATGGGTGTGGGTCCAGCCAAAAGTCAATTAGAAGCCATCAAGTTGTGTACTACGTGGATGTGCAAGAGTTTAATTCCTTCTCAAAGGGAATAAATCACGTTAGTTATTTCTTTGGACGGTTACAGCCACCTGAACGACCAAAAGTTACACGCAGATGGAAGTTTATCACGTGGAAGATCATGAGTTTAAATGAGTCTGGATGGGGGCCGCCATGTTGGAAAAAATAGATCAAGGAGCAATCAAATAAAATAGCCAAACTTTATTTTAGTAGGTCTTTGCATGCTTGCCGAGATGTAAAAGGCAAGTTAGTTTAAATCTAGAAAGAGTCCAGCCTTTAGGAGGTACATGTGCGTGCCTCTTCCAAGTTATTTCTATAAATAGCTAGGTCCGGTCCATGTAAAAGCAGGTTATTTTTTATATGAAATAGACACAATGTGTTTTTCAGGGTAGACACACCCGTATCAAGTTTTGGAGGGATCTTCAGAAAACCTCTGTTTTGCGATTTCTCTTCGTGGAAATTATTTTGCGCGTGAGTACCTTCGTCGAGATTGGTTTTCTCGTGCTGGGCCGCAAGGTTCAAACCCTCTACTTCGTGTACATCGCGTGCACGGGCGAGAGGTTGCTACTGCTGGTGGTGGAGTATCGTGAAAGATCGGGCCCCAACAACGAATCGGGTCTCACCTTGAGCTTCGGTCTACATCAGGTGGTATTCAGAGCGTCAGGTTGTTCACGGCACTACGGTGAAGATGGCGAGTGCATCGTTATTCAGTAAGTTAAGCTATGGATTTCAGTTGGAGGAGGAAGGTCGTTGGACTGGCCTTTTTCACACCCGTGTGGTAGTGAGAGAGAGATCATGTGCTATAACGATCGATCACATGAATTTGATCAACGCAGCAAGCATCGAGATGGTGAAGAAGCTGGAGATACCAATAACAGCACATCCAAAACCATACTTTTTCCGTTGGGGTCATGAAGAGCTCACTGTCACGCACCAAACTAAGGTACCGTTTTTGTTAGGAAAATTCTTTTGCGAGGTTTTGTGCGATGTGATTCCAGCGCCGATGGTTTCATGCCACTTGTTGTTGGGTGAGCCATGGTACAAAGAGCATGATGTAGTGTATGATTATCACACACACACATATACTGTCAAGAAGGGTAAAAAATGCAATCTTGTGCCCATGGATGAGGAGCGTTTCATTACATGGAGGAAAGAACATCTTGAGAAGATAAAAAAGCAAGAAGAAGAAGAAAGGAAGAAGGCCGAAGCTGCTGCAATTGTTACTATCGTCGTCGTTCAGTCTGCAAATAAAAATATTGTTGAGATCAACTCGAAACCGAGGACGGTTTCGTTTCAAGGAGGAGAGGATGATATGGCCGCGTGTAACTTAAGTGCGATGATCATTGTTGATACAACAACGTATTTATCTAGTACTGAATATGCTACAGATGTTTTTCAAGATGAAGATGAATTTGTAGGCACCACATCTAAGCGTGACACAGCTGTACAAATAATGAGCAAGTATGGAGTTATGTTTCTATATTCCCCTAAATCAGGACGTGAAGGAGCACACATGCATGGGTGTGGGTCCAGCCAAAAGTCAATTAGAAGCCATCAAGTTGTGTACTACGTGGATGTGCAAGAGTTTAATTCCTTCTCAAAGGGAATAAATCACGTTAGTTATTTCTTTGGACGGTTACAGCCACCTGAACGACCAAAAGTTACACGCAGATGGAAGTTTATCACGTGGAAGATCATGAGTTTAAATGAGTCTAGGTGGGGGCCGCCATGTTGGAAAAAATAGATCAAGGAGGAATCAAATGAAATAGTCAAACTTTATTTTAGTAGGTCTTTGCATGCTTGCCGAGATGTAAAAGGCAAGTTAGTTTAAATCTAGAAAGAGTCCAGCCTTTAGGAGGTACATGTGCGTGCCTCTTCCAAGTTATTTCTATAAATAGCTAGGTCCGGTCCATGTAAAAGCAGATTATTTTTTATATGAAATAGACACAATGTGTTTTTCAGGGTAGACACACCCGTATCAAGTTTTGGAGGGATCTTCAGAAAACCTCTGTTTTGCGATTTCTCTTCGTGGAAATTGTTTTGCGCGTGAGTACCTTCGTCGAGATTGGTTTTCTCGTGCTGGGCCGCAAGGTTCAAACCCTCTACTTCGTGTACATCGCGTGCACGGGCGAGAGATTGCTACTGCTGGTGGTGGAGTGTCGTGAAAGATCGGGCCCCAACAACGGATCGGGTCTCACCTTGAGCTTCGGTCTACATCACTCCATGTCAATAGGACAAGGTGGAGGAATAGCACCTGGACCATTGTGCGGTCTAGAACCATCATAGGAGAAGGCCGCCGAAGAACCACGACCGAGGAAACACAACCTGGTGTTGCCGTCGGCAACATGGACTTATCTGGATGCGATTTTTTCGGCAGTGACAAAAGTGGAGGGGCGGTGGAGCGACGAGCAACGATGGCTAGGGTTTCCCTGTGCCACCATTGGGAGGAGAGCGACACAGGTCCACTATACATACATTGTTCTAGTTTTACAACATTTGAATGGCATATTGTCCAGACGGGAAGAAACTATTATTCCAACATTTGGGTAGACAAAACTGGTTTTGTGAGCTACTTTGCGATATCATCCACCTTCAAACATGGCTACCCTTGCTTGACGATTGATTCCAAAAATGAAAAAAAAATTGGTTGCCTGACGATTCCAACCAATAATATATAAAATTACCAAAGCAAAAAAAAGAAGACGCCGTCCGTGGGATTCGAACCCACGACCACACGGTTAAAAGCCGTGCGCTCTACCAACTGAGCTAGGACGGCTCGTTGCATACTAACCTTCAATAAAGTATATGTACGTGATGTCTTCTTTTCAAAATGTATGGTGCAATTTTTTGCGAGGCCGTTTTTCAGCAACTTGGGAACACCGCACATTTTTGGGGCCTACTAAATCACAGAGCTCACTCGCAAATCAAAAGCACCCGCAACTATATGTTTGTTCTGTTGCGTTGTCTCTAGAACATCCATGTCAACATGCCACGTAGAGGAAAACAAGAGAGAGACGATCCATTTGCCGATATGCTGCCACGAAGTACACACTCCTCTCATGTCACCAAAAGCTTGCAAAAGGCTTCGGATAACGAAGTGAAAGACGATCCAGATCACAATTCCAGTAAAACACGAATCTCAGTACGCTCTTCTGCTCCTACGTACAATGTTTGAAGCTGAACTCCGGCGCAGAGTTTCAGACGAATCGAGCCGTTCAAAACGAGAAGAAAAAAAAGAGAGAGAAGGGGAGAGGGTTTGCTTGCCATTTTCTGAAAATCCTCCCCAAATCCCCTGGACGCATCCGCCGACGGGGAATCGACCCCCCGCAGGCGCGCCCGCCTCCCTCCCACAGCCCACAGGCATAAACGCCCGCCTCCCCTCGTCTCCCGCCCGCCTCGCCCGCCGCCAACCCCCCAATCGCTTTCAAATCGCGCGGCCGCCCGATCGGCGGCGGCGATGGAGGTGGGCGACCTGCACAAGGTGTGGGAGATCCGGGCGCTCAAGCGGAAGCCCGAGGAGCCCACCGCGCGCGCGCTCCTCGACCGCGTCGCCAAGCAGGTCCAGCCCATCATGCGCCGCCGCAAGTGGCGCGTCAAGGTCCTCTCCGAGTTCTCGTAAGCAGCAAACCCTAACCCTAGCCTCTGTATCCCTCGTTCCCCACATCGGCTTCTCCGTCGACCGATAGATACCGTGTGCCGGGGTGACCCGTTTTTATTTGGGGATTAATTAGGCCGAAGAACCCGAGGCTGCTGGGGCTCAACGTCAACCGGGGCGCCGAGGTGAAGCTGCGGCTCCGGCGCGACGGCCGCGACCTCGACTTCATCCCCTACGAGGAGGTGCTCGACACCATGCTCCACGAGCTCGCGCACAACGCGCGCGGGCCCCACGACGCGCAGTTCTACAAGCTCTGGGACGAACTCCGCAAGGTCCGTTTGCTGACGTTTCTGCTCTTGTGTTGGTGCTTCAAATGTCTACGATTCCACCTGTATAGCGGTTCACTAGTGTCAGTGTATGTATATATCCGGTTGCTTGGAATCTGTTGATTGTGTGCACTAGGCTATAAGAATGCAGATGTTGTGCATATTCCCTTGCAACCTAGCTAGCCCGTTAACTGAAACTTGGTTCAGTTGATTTTGGGGTTAACGGCATTTAACCTGAAATTTTCGTCGGATGCTGTCGTCATTAACAATGTGCAGACGGAACTGATCTTGTTTACTAAGTTTTGGCTTATCATTATGTGAACGAGTCCTAGCAGAAGCATGTAAGTTAGTAGCCCCTCTATTTATTTGCTAGAAACATCACAATTTTTATATCTGCTTACCTGACCATAACAATTGCTCAAATGGAAGTGATTACATCAATATTTGGATTTCAGAATTATCCGTGTGCTTGTACATAGGATTTCGCCGAATCAAACGCTAGATGCTTATATGTTGCTTATGCATAATGATGATTCAGGAGTGTGAAGAACTTGTTGCAAAGGGTATCACGGGGCCAGGACAAGGGTTTGATGGTACAGGCAGGCGATTAGGTGGATTTTCAATACATCCACCACCACCATCTCTCCGACAAGCTACACTAACTGCAGCACAGAAACGGGCAAGGAATGGGGCTCTATTGCCGTCCGGCCCAAGAAAGTTGGGTGGAAATAATGCCATCATGAGTGCTCTTAGTCCAGTACAAGCTGCTGCCATGGCTGCTGAAAGGAGGATGCAGGATGACTTGTGGTGCGGATCACATAATGATTCTGGTATCGATGATTCAGAAGATGTTGTTATTCTTGAGCAACCACCTAACTTGACAACAAGGGATGGAAAAAACACAAAGCGTGCAAAAAACACAAGGTGTGATTCTTCTAGTAGTTCTGCAGAACCCAGCACTTCATCTGTATCTCAAGTTCCAGCACGAGCTGATTCCTCTTCTGGTAGAACGACTGATGCGGACTTTAGTTCTATGTGGGAGTGTAGTGCTTGCACTCTTCTTAATCAGGTAAATTGATCAGCCACTTTATTTTTCAACACTGTACTGAAGTTCCTATTACAGAAAACATTCATGCCCTTTCACATACAAAACCTGATGTCCACATACACTTGGTGGCCAGCTCTTCAGCTAGGCACAAATTCTCTTTTATACTCGGTGCTGGTTCTAGCTGGTTCCATTATGATCTATTAGCAGTCTTTGAAGTGCACTGAACGTAATGGGTATGTAAATGGTTCGCACTAATAGTGAGTCCATATCAAAGTGGTACTTCCAGAGCAGATTAGACTTATCCAAATTTAAGATGAAATCTAGTTTTCATAATTTATGAACTTGGAACGCCCTAGGATAAATTGAACTATTGATTTGATTTTCTATGTCTGTGACGTACATTTGTTTGCCCACCTTTCTATCTCATCCTTACCTACCTTTGGATCTGTGGTGACAGTAGTTCGCTTTACAAATGGACTCCTTATGATATTCTGAAGCCACATTTGCAACTTGCATTTTGATGCATATGTAGTTACTCTTTTGGACTTGTGGTGACAGTAGTTCGCTTTACAAATGGACTCCTTATGATATTCTGAAGCCACATTTGCAACTTGCATTTTGATGCGTATCAAGTTACTCTTTTAGACACTGGCAACATGTAACTAATAATTAACCTGCATCAACAGTGTATATTTAACTCCCTTCACTATTATGATAAAAAACATTAATAATATAATATATTGTAATACAAAGTATTATGATAAAAAACATTAATAATATAATATATTGTAATACAAAGTGATATGACTTATTTGTCTCGATGTATTGTTATAAGTATGTTAAGTTCATTTACACAAATGATATAAGTCATACCGGAAATCCGTTTCGGCTCCCGGGAGCATCTGGACCACATGTGTGTCATGATTCACACAGACTAGTATTCACTTCTGTATTTCGTTTTAATAGTACAGGGCCTGGCCCACCAATCAGTTGTACGGCAGCGAATCTCCCGTGTAACGCCGCTCCAGTACAGATGGAGGAGGACGGATCTGTCCTAACAGAGCGCCACAACTGGACCACCGGATTGTAAACGGCAGCCATCAAAGCTAGATATTTACAAGCCAAGCCAGCCACCACCATCCCCTTCCTCTGCACGATTAAGTTCATCCACCAGTAGCACCCATTCCTCCTCCCTCTCCACATAGTTCTAGCTCATCCTTCCCCACTTGAAGGTTCTCGAAACACAGGGATTCACTATGTTCTAGATTGTCCATCCCAGGTGCAAATGGAACATAATTAGATGTCATGGGTTTTATCACACTTCATTGCATAAACTTTAAGGGGAAACAAAACGCTCTCAGCTGCAATTCCCCTGTAGTGGAAGCATTACTCCAGCCGCCACTTTGCTAGAGAACCTTCACTTCCACCCAAAATGATACACTTCAACATAAACCCTCTGGCATCTAAGTCTCCTCTTCGTCTTCTTCTTCGTCCTTCATGAAGTGTGGCAGAACTGTCCTGTTCTCCTGCATCATCAACAAGCTGGTACACAAGCGACTTCGCCAAGTATGTAATCTGGCTCTGTCACACACAATAACACATATTTGGCCAGCCCCAACCTATGGATCTAGAAATGAATTTTTCAAATGACACGGTCGCTTAGTGCAAATGAAACTTACATCCGACAGACTCTGAACTTTCTCCCTCGTGTATTCTCTAAGATAGTGCATCCCATAGATCCAGCTCTCTTCCCTGGTCAAGCATGGCAAAAAAAAGTCTCGTCTCTAATAACATAAGTCGTATATTGTTACCCCAGTCAACCACAACTAACCAATTTTGCCTAGTTTTTGCAAAAATCAGATAATTTCCACTTTTTTATCACTCAATCAGTTGCAGACATGAAAAAAATAGATTGCAGAATTACACGCGGTACTCATCGGAAGAGAATTCAACGAATTATTGTTACCTTGTCCAACCTGGGGCTTGTCGATCCATTTTGCCCGTAGAATGAGCTGAGGTTGCATCTCCACTCTGTGCTTGGTCTGCAATGACAGAATCCATGGCTGGGTGCTTGTTCATCTGGGCGTCCCCTTTCTCAGCCACATCCGTGTTATCTCCTTCGCTCTTACTGAAATCAGAAGCTGTTCCCCAACCGGCATCAACACTTATTTGCTCACCGTAAGCAGCACCACTAAGCTGGACGAGACCATGACCACTGCTGAATCCCCCAACACCACTCAGCCGTGCATCATCCATCCCCATCCTAGACCCTCTGCCGGAATGCCCTATTGACTGATCTCCATCTCACACCATTTCCACTAAAATTGTAGCGCTGCACGCCTCGTCCGAGTAAATCGGTAAACTGTGGGTGGATTTCATCCAGAAATCAGATCCCCAACTGCATCTAAATATTTAACAACCACGGGATTTGGAGGATAAGGCTATATTTACCTGTCGACTGCAGTTACTGGGAATTCCGTCGCCATGCCCGAGCCGTCGCGGTGATCTATGCCCAGTTGGCGGCACCCCCCCTACGGCTTCAAAGGCGCACCTCTCCGGCGACGCCGCAGAGCTCTGCCGTGGCTTACTCAGAGCAATAGCACTCCCTCTGCTGAGAAAATCTTGGCAGTAGAACTAACCCCCACCACGCGCCCAACATTTTCTTTTTTCACCTTTCATGTGGGCCAGACAAACGGCTGACTCCGTCCAAAGATAACACCTGTACCACGTGTCCAGAGTACAGGTGCGTCAAGACGCGTTAGCAGGCCAACGTCCGTCCTCCCTGGCGCTAGCTGCCTCTCGTACGTACACAGTGCGGCGCCAGTGTATACTTCGTCTAATATTCCTGTATTCGCATGACAGTGATGTGCGGCACAGATCTCTACACATATCTGGGCGGCTGTGATTCCGGGTTCAACTGGACCTGGGTGCCAAAACGGCCCGAAGTGATACTCCTTTTCTTGTTTTTGCACATTATGCTGTTAATATGATCTGTAATATCTTTTTCAAAGACATCTGTAATCTGTTCTTTTTTCATTGAAAAAGAAGTGCAGTGGCTGGCCTACTGTACTTCTATTACTGCTGCTCCCCGTTCTCTAACACATTTCATCTGCAGCCTCTGGCACCAATTTGTGAAGTTTGTGGGACAGCGAAACCTAAAATTGCAAAAGCCAAGTACGCATCTTGGTCCTGTAAGTTCTGCACTCTGGAGAACTGCACTAAGCTTGATAAATGTTCGGCATGCGATCAATGGAGGTACTCATATGGACCACCTGTAGCCACATATGGTCCAAGCTACGATTGACTTACATTGAAGGCTCCAAGAATACGTAAGTGGAGTTTATTACTGTCACAGGCATTCAGTGTTCTACAAATTTTCCGCTCTCTTCTGACAGAGCGATGTTACTCCTGTATTAACAATTCAACTCACCCAAAAATGGCTTCTTTACAGAGATAACTGCACAATACTACAATCACCAGATAATTGCATCAGTACGATAGTATGCCCAAGCACTAATATTCCAGCCGTGTTTTATTTTGCTTCTAACCTGAAATGCTTTTGTTTTCGGCCTCTCAGGAACTACTCCTATGCGAGAGGTGCATAGAGTTGTTTCTTGATAGAGCTAAACCACTTGTTTGTGCATTCTTACTAAGCAGTTTAATTCAATAGATAGCAAGTTCGTCATGGAAGGTGGACTTATGTACGTACTCATACCCAAAGCTGTAGACAACCCTTTTTTTTGTTGCATAAAATGGTTAACCTCGGAAATCCTACACTTGTGAAGTGGCAGGGCGATAGCAAGGGCGAGCCAAGTTACTATTACTGGATTAGGCCTAGGGTGTATAACATAAGCATAACTTGATGAATTTGCCTGACATGTTTTATTATTTCTGTCTGTCTCTCGGTAGTTGACCTGTGACAGCGATCTTCTCTTCATGTGGTTTTCCGCAGGTTTACAATTTTGGGGGAGGCGGCTGCTGCAATGTTTAAAATTGCCTCACCAGCAGCGGTTGCCTCTGCAGCCACCTACCAAGTACCACTGCATGCCAACTCAAACCCGTGGAGTCGCAGGAAGATTTAGCATCCAGATCTGGGCACCTGTCGGCCTGCCAATGGCTCCCAATTCCTCTCTGGGAGCACTGAATCCTGTATGCCTTGGTGACTTCCGCGCGTGGTTGCTGATTTAAAGAACGTGGTCGGTCTTGTCATCTTGTGCAAGGATGCCTACATGTTTGCAAATTGCAGCAGTTGCTATCACTGCCTTGTTCGTCTCATATACAGTAGTGGCTCACCTTTGCTATCATTGCTGTAGCTTTTGCGCGCCCGTGGTAGGAGTAGGAGAATCGTAGAGGTTCACCTTTGCTGGGTGAAGGTCACTGTCACCTGTGTTCATATACAGTAGCTGAGCACGTCGATAGAGTAAATCTCTTTCTCTTTTCGCCGCAACGTGTTAGAAGCGTGGTAGGAACTGGAGAGCGAGGCCAACGGGCAAAGGAACCTAGGACGTGACGAGAAGCCCACACTCCTTTTATCACACGTTCTGGGAATCTCGGTACGCTTTGGCTGCTTTGTCTATCATGGGTAGAGAGTCAAGCGGCGGCTTAGTTCACTGACACGTAAATTTTCCATACCTTTTTCTTCGCTCTATCATGCGCTTTTTTCTTTGTTTGGCGGCAGATTGCAATTACCCGAGCACGTGCTGTGAAAGCGGGGCATCTTTTCTTTTTTCTGGTGCACGAATGGCCCGGTGCATCTGGTGAATCAGACCCGTGTGATGCTGCCCAGGCTCTTGGCACGCGTTTTGCCACATTGCCCACACATCTTTTCCCCCTTAGCAAGGCACTGGTAAAGTTTTAACTCGTTGACTAATGGTTTACTTGAACGCCGCAACTAAATCAGTCATGTGCGTAGCTTAAACAGCTTAATTAGGCGACCTGTAGAATCAACATCATCCAATAAACCAAGGCAACAAACGTGTTGAGATTCATGCGAGCTACTCCACATCCGTGGTCCTTCAGTTACTCCACAAGCTCCTAAAATGGCAATTTCGGACGGGACCCAACTCTAGTTTGTGTTGTGTTCCACTTAGGTCAAAATGATGAATTATACACGTGTACATGGATGGTGGTCAAGTTCGCAGTTTCACGCCCACTAGGGTTTGGATTTTGTGTGTGTTTAGGTCCTTGGTCCCATTGAATTAAATACCTAGGTCATTCGCAAAAATAAAACAAAATTAAACACCTAGGTATTTCCATCTCTCAGGGCATGTACAATTGGAGTGGACAAATTTGGCCCCTCAAACGTCCGCGGACCCAGTCAGCTTCTGAGTGTGTTCGTTTTGACTTTATATTTGTCCATCCACATAACCACGTCCCTCACTTCTTTCCCTATACGTTCGGTCACACGCATGTGATTTGTGGAGAGGGAGAGAGAGAGAAAGAAAATAAATACTCCATGGTGGGGAAATCCTATGTGGCAGACACATGACCACTGATTGAACATGCACATGCTACTCATCTCATCTCGAGTAAAATGCATCATAAGTCCTAAAACTATTAAAGGTGTGTCAGTTTAGTCCTATAACTTTGAAACTGCAGTTTTATGTTTTGAAACTGTAGTTTTATGTCCTAAACTATTGAAGGTGTGTCTTTTTCTTTTGCGAAAACTATTGAAGGTGTGTCAGTAGTCAAACTGCAGTTTTAGCTCCTAAAACTATTGAAGGTGTGTCATTTTAGTCGTATAACTTTGAAACTGCAGTTTTGAGTCCCAAAACTATGTAAGTTTGTTCATATTAGGTCCTAAACTTGCATGGCATGCATTGACCCATCGAAGTGTTGCTTGGAGATGCTTGGAGTGTTGCCATGTGGACCCAATGGACCCACCACGTTAACTTATGAAAGGTAAATATGCAAGAAAACCCGTAGAGCTTTGTCACACCTTCTTCTCCCACGCACAGAATGCTCAAAGTCAGAGGCAACAATGTGGAGCGTGGCATGATGGCTTGAGCTCCAGCGAGAAGAGTAGGCCGGCCATCTCAGCCTCATCCCACATTAGCTCCCGATTGGCTTGGGCTCTCCCTGGTGGCCGCACCAAGGGAGAGGAATGTCGTCCTCCATGCTGACTGGCTCGGGGTCTCCACGTCGGCTGCGCCAAACCTCTCAGCAAGGTTGCCCTACAATTCATGGTCTCAAGGGGAGAAAACCCCTTCATCTAGGCGGACACCCATGCCTACTCAGGGAGCAACTTCTACATAGGTGGTGGGTGTGTAGGTTGCAACACACACTGCGACATGGAAAGCGTATGGACCATTTTGAGGGAAGTAAACACATAAAGGGCTCATTTAAAAAAATGCACCATAGATGCTATGTTGGAAATATGCCCTAGAGGCAATAATAAATTAGTTATTATTATTATTATATTCCATTGTTCATGATAATCGTTTATTATCCATGCTAGAATTGTATTGATAGGAAACTCAGATACATGTGTGGATACATAGACAACACCATGTCCCTAGTAAGCCTCTAGTTGACTAGCTCGTTGATCAATAAGATGGTTACAGTTTCCTGACCATGGACATTGGATGTCGTTGATAACGGGATCACATCATTAGGAGAATGATGTGATGGACAAGACCCAATCCTAAGCCTAGCACAAGATCGTGTACTTCGTATGCTAAAGCTTTTCTAGTGTCAAGTATCATTTCCTTAGACCATGAGATTGTGCAACTCCCGGATACCGTAGGAGTGCTTTGGGTGTGTCAAACGTCACAACGTAACTGGGTGGCTATAAAGGTTCACTACAGGTATCTCCGAAAGTGTCTGTTGGGTTGGCATAAATCGAGACTGGGATTTGTCACTCCGTGTAAACGGAGAGGTATCTCTGGGCCCACTCGGTAGGACATCATCATAATGTGCACAATGTGACCAAGGAGTTGATCACAGAATGATGTGTCACGGAACGAGTAAAGAGACTTGCCGGTAACGAGATTGAACAAGGTATCGGGATACTGATGATCGAATCTCGGGCAAGTATCGTACCGATGGACAAAGGGAATTGTATACGGGATTGATTGAATTCTTGACATCGTGGTTCATCCGATGAGATCATCGTGGAGCATGTGGGAGCCAACATGGGTATCCAGATCCCGCTATTGGTTATTGACCGGAGAGTTGTATCGGCCATATCTGCATGACTCCCGAGCCCGTAGGCCCGCAAGGCAACCCCCCTGGCCGCCGCCCCCTCCTCAGATTGGATCTGAGGGGGGCGCCCCCTCTCCCTTGCCCCTATATATATGTGGGGGGTGGGAGGACAGCCGCACCCAAGTTCTGGCGCAGCCCTCCCCCTTTCCCAAGTCCTCCTCCTCTTCCGCGGTGCTTGGCGAAGCCCTGCAGGATTGCCACGCTCCTCCTTCACCACTACGCCGTCGTGCTGCTGCTGGATGGAGTCTTCCCCAACCTCTCCTTCTCCCCTTGCTGGATCAAGGTGTAGGAGACGTCACCGGGCTGCACGTGTGTTGAACGCGAAGGCGCCGTGATTCGGCGCTTAGATCGGAATCAACCGCGATCCGAATCGCTACGAGTACGACTCCTTCATCCGCGTTCTTGCAACGCTTCCGCTTAGCGATCTACAAGGGTATGTAGATGCACTCTCCTTCCCTTCGTTGCTAGATTACTCCATAGATTGATCTTGGTGATGCGTAGAAAATTTTAAATTTCTGCTACGATCCCCAACATGCTGGCCATGCAAGCTTAGGACGTGAGAGGAACAAACTTACGTAGTATTGGGACCTAAAATTGTAGTTTTGAAGTCCTAGGACTAAACTGACACACCTTCAACAGTTTTAGGACTTAAAACCGCAGTTTTAATGTTATAGGACTAAACTGATACACCACCAATAGTTTTAGGACTTATCATGCATTTTACTCTCTCATATATAAGGAGTGCCGGGCAACCCAAATATTTAAGGAGGCTTTCAATGGTCTGGTTGGGTCAACTTTTTCTTCTCTCTGCTATCCGATCAGTGGTCCTGCATCCGTCTGGTCAATTTGGGGAGCCTAGTTGTAGATGCTCTCGGTAACTCTAGTCTTCAAGTACCCAAACCATCCTTCTCTGCCGGCCCCAAAATCCCTCACTTCGGCTACATGAAGCTATATTCCCTACATTACGTCATCAAACTATTCCCAAATGTTTCATCTCTCAGACGTCTTTGCCACTAATTGATCATACTTGTTGCCGTAGACCAGTGGTGGGCAATTCATTGTTCATATTCACGTGTGCAAGATTTGGTCACAAACCATGATCTCGACCAAAGTTTAGCACTTCCAAGAGTTTAGGGGGCCAAAATAGTTGCATTGAGAGCTTGAGGACCATGGTGATTGTAGCGTCCACCAAAAGTCAGTGATAATTATAAGGGTAAAATATAAAAGTTACTCATAATCTCAAGAAATTCCAGCGATGCAACATAGGTCCTGCATTGAGAGCTTGGACTTTACCGTGACGTGACTAGCGTGTTATGAAAAGGTTCATTGCGGTGCTCGAGCAGTCGATCGCCTCCACTGGGTCAAATTGCCCGGCGCTTGTCCCTTCCTTCTGCTCTCGTAGTTTTACAATCTTAGAGGAGGAGGGGAATTCGTATGATTTGTTGAACAATAAAGGGTAAAACATCGAAGAGGGAGTCTATTGAATCGTCGCACGATTACTGAGGGTTTGTGCACCCGTCACCACAAATGAAATGTAGGACATCCGCTCGATAATCCATCCTTCATGTCCATGTGTGCCAGATTTGGCGACGAGCACACTATCAGTACCGAACACATGGGTCTCTGGACAGTTTGAGATCAAAGTGACTGTACCGCCAACCATAATTCAACGACGCGATATTTTTAAGAGGACAATCATCATAAAAAGTCACTCAAAGCCCAACAATGCCACACGGAGGTCCTTTTCTTAGGTCCGAGACGCCATGGCGCTCGCTGCAGGTAGAAACGTGAGCTTTTTTCCCTTCTGGACGGAAAGGGACGTGATCTAACCTGGCGCGAGAGACAGTGACATTTTCCCCGCTTTTTCTCCGAGCCCAAGAAGCAGCGGCGGCCCTTCCGTCCGACGCGCGCAGCACGCTTCCGGCTTGCTGTCCTCTCCCACTCCCACCCTCGGTACAGGACAGGTCGCCTCCCCCAACAAAGCCGACCCCCCATCAAACAGACGGCGCGCGCAACCAGACAAATCCCCGCTACCCGGCACCAGCAGCAGTCCCCACTCGGGAGCCATGCGTCCGGCCGGCGGCAGCCTCCCGGCCCAGCCGGGCACGCCGGGCCGCCCGCGCCGCCGCCCGGATCTCACCCTCCCGATGCCGCAGCGCCCGGACGTCTCCTCCTCGCTCGCCGTCCCGCTCCCGCTCCCGCCCCCGACCGCCGCTCCCCCCACCGGCGCCGGCCCCGCCCAGCCGCTCGTGGCGCCGCCCGCGGCCGCCCCGCCCCCGCCCCCGCTCCACGAGCTGGAGCGCGTGCGCCGGGTCGGCAGCGGCGCGGGCGGCACCGTGTGGATGGTGCGGCACCGCGCCACGGGCCGCTGCTACGCGCTCAAGGTGCTCTACGGGAACCACGACGACGCGGTGCGGCGCCAGATCGCGCGGGAGATCGCCATCCTGCGCACCGCCGAGCACCCGGCCGTCGTGCGCTGCCACGGCATGTACGAGCGCGGCGGCGAGCTGCAGATCCTGCTCGAGTACATGGACGGCGGCTCCCTCGACGGCCGCCGCATCGCCGACGAGCCCTTCCTGGCGCACGTGGCGCGCCAGGTGCTCTCCGGCATCGCGTACCTCCACCGCCGCCACATCGTGCACCGCGACATCAAGCCCTCCAACCTGCTCATCGACTCGGCGCGCCGCGTCAAGATCGCCGACTTCGGGGTGGGCCGCATCCTGAACCAGACCATGGACCCCTGCAACTCCTCCGTCGGCACCATCGCCTACATGAGCCCCGAGCGCATCAACACCGACATCAACGACGGCGCCTACGACGGCTACGCCGGCGACATCTGGAGCTTCGGCCTCAGCATCCTCGAGTTCTACCTCGGCAGGTTCCCCTTCGGCGAGAACCTCGGCCGCCAGGGCGACTGGGCCGCGCTCATGGTCGCCATCTGCTACTCCGACCCGCCCGAGCCTTCCCCCGCCACTGCCTCGCCCGAGTTCCGGGGCTTCATCGCCTGCTGCCTGCAGAAGAACCCCGCCAACCGCCTCTCTGCCGCGCAGCTGCTGCAGCACCCCTTCGTCGCCTTGCCGCAGCCGCAGCCGCTCGCCGCCCCGCCGTCATCGTGACCGCCGCGACCTCCCAACACGGATCTCGATCCACTTCTTGCACCACCGCGCTTCCAAATCCAGCACTGGTCAGGATCGATGGAACTGGGCTGCCGGGGGAATCTTGGAAGGTTCTCCCTGACCATTTTGGGTATTCTTCTCGTCCACCATCGTCCTCCCTCATCAAATCATCCATTGTTGCTGCTGCTGCTGCTCCAGTTAAGGTTCCCTTTCCCTCTCCTGTGAATCTGTGATGTTCGTTGCTACTTCCTGTTACGGCCTTGTAATAGTAGCAAAAGCTGTGTGCACAAAAAGGATTTTGTACCGCAAGATTGGTCGAATATAGACACGATATCCATTCTGCCATTGCCTCTCCAACTGCTGCAAACGAAATTCCGTTGGAAATTTCATCTGTACATGTAGCTCATCACATGATGATATGGCCGTCCCCCATCTTGCCAGGGGCATCTTCCATTTATTTTATCTGTGTTTGCTTATTATACTAGTTGCAAGTCGCCGTGGCTCGATGGAATTATTGGATTGGATGATTCTATATTTGCTGGTTGGATAGAGGGGAATCTCGGAATAGGAATCGGACCAGCTTTGTTTTGTTTCTTTCTTTCAGTGTTGTAAAGTGATATGAGGGAAAGGTGTTCCTGAACCTCCTCTGCCTTTCTTGTTTTCAATTCTGGTTTGCCTTTTCTTCGTCCGGCCAAAGATGATTTTTGTTTTGGCTATTGGCATGCACATCATGGGTTTCAATTCATGTTTACTTTTGTTCCACTTGGTGAAAATGGACGTCAAGAATGAATTTCCTTTGGAGTCAATGATCCTGGCCAATTGACCTTTGTGATTAGTTTAGTTAGAGTGAGTATAAACCTTTCTGATTAGTTTAATCAGCCAGGATAAACCTTAGCAATCGGTTCAATTAGTGTGAGGAGAAACCTCAGTGATTTGTACTTATAAAGACCCCTCGCAGTCTTCTGCTCACAAATGTGGTATACGGAGTGAAGATGACAAGCCCGCAGCTCAAAAACCAAAACCAAAATGGTACAAGCCCCACTTGTGAGCAAAATCACTCATGTATTTTGTACTTCTACTTGGTGTAGTAGCAGTAGTTCAAAGAGGCAGCTGCTGGGAAAGGTGTCACTGAACCTCCTTCTGTGCCTTTTCTGTTTCCAGTTCCGGTTTGCTTTTTCTTCATCCGGCAAAGATGGTTTTTGTTTTGGCAACTGACATGCACATCATGGATGTCTATTCATGTTTACTTTTGTTCCACTTGGTGAAAATGGACGTCACGACTCAGGAGTGGATTTCTTCGTGATCCTGGCTAAGGGCATCTGCAACGCCAACCCATAAATGGACACAGTATTTGTACAAAATTCTGTCCGGAAGCCAGGCATCCATCCATCCCACCCTATACCTCAAATATTCGCCCGCCGCGAACCAGCATGTGGTTGAATGGTTAGGTAGACAATTGTATCCTTAGCCCACCAGAGTTCAAATTCCGATGCTCGTATTTATCCTGGATTTATTTCAGAATTTTCGGCGATGTGCATTCAGTGAAAGAAAACGTTTCCATTGATTACGAAATCATCAACGCCGAATATATTACCAGCAGTCACAATTTACATGGATTACAATGTAAGTGAAGGGATGCAGTTTTCGCTTAATAGCGATGAGGTTTTCCGCTAATCACCCGTATGCGTGAGGTGTTTCGCCCCCCCCTCCCCCGCCCTCGACGGATTCAAATCCTCTGACTTTGGAAGGGAGGTCAGGTAAGCTACAGTATCCTGACTTCCTATCGTCAGATTTCTACAAAATCTGATCTAACACAGTTGTTTATGAACAGTAATTTGCGCAGTGATTTACATACAGTAGTAAGTATATAGTGGTTTGTGGAACAGTGTGCGCTCCCTGACTTCCCTTCCTCGTTTAATTTTTTATACTAAACTAGATCATTGAAGGCGCCCGTTGCTGCACCCGTCAATTTTGACACTTGATTGTTGGTATTTGATACAACTTATTGGAGCAGTAGTATTTTTAATGTTAGTTATTGAAAAAGAAAATATTTGGAAAATTTGTATTTATGTGTTGCTGGAACAAAATGTCAGATTGTAAGGAATTTAGGACGTTTGCCAAAAGAAAAGAGAGGTTATTATGTTTCTGTGAGATGCGTGAACTTTCATTTGGTTCCTCTCCACATAACGACGTTTCCATGGCGTCTGTTCAACAATGGCGAGGCTAAGGTCGCTCACCAGTCAGGTATAGGAACGGTGAATCACTCCCTCAATCACCGGCGAGTGGTGCCGAATCAGTCACCGGCGAGTGACCAGCGAAAAAAAAATCGACAGGTGACGATTGGCTAGCGTCTCGGTCGGACACGAAGCGCAGTTTGCATGCGTTGCCATCGGTCGCATCAGTCAGAACCCATGGGAATCACTCCCGCCCAGCGTCGGTTGCGTCCGTGCGAACGGAAGGAGCGAGGGAGCGACGCGTGGGGGGCTCCTACTTTTTTCTGGCTGCACGAATTGAGAACGGTAGAAGCCCATTAGGCCCAATTTCACATCAGACGCTCAAAAATGTTACCGGAGTAGCGACCCAGCATACATACGGCTTGACGTAGCGAACGAAGGGACCGAAAAAGCGAACGAAGCGACCCGACGCTGTATATTAGACAAGGAGAAGAAATCGGACGGCCAAAACTCTCTAAAACTGAAGATCCAATGGTTGTGAATGCTAATGGTCTAAGATGGCTGGAAAAGTGCTTAGTTATAATGTCTTTAAATAAAAGGCACTGTAGCTACCAGACTTGCCTGCTGCAAAGAGGATCCGACTCCCCTGTCGGCCTGTCCATCTGTGTGAAGCAGTTCCTGTAGCCAGCCTAGCCCATATGCAGTGCAATAGATTTTGTAGACCGAGCCCAAAAGAATAAGAAAAAGTCCAACGTGAATACAAAGGGGGTCTGCTGTAACACCCACGATGCGGCTATATCTCCCACGTGTCGGAGCACGACTTAGAGGTATAACCGCATTGTAGGCATGTCGCAAGAGGGGTAATCTTTACACATCCCATGTACTGAATAAGAAAAAGGTACAGTGTTGGCTTACAATCGCCACTTCACACAATACATGAATAAAGCATTACATCAACCCGATACAATCAAGGCCTGACTACGGAACCAAAATAAAAAAAGACTACCCCTAATGCAAAAGATCCCCGATCGCCCCAACTGGGCTCCACTACTGATCGTCTAGAAAGGAAACGTAGTATCGTCGTGAGTCCTCATCGAACTCCCACTTGAGCTCAGTCGTATCTCCTGGAATGGTATCATCGACACCTGCATCTGGTTTTGAAAGTAATCTGTGAGTCACGGGGACTCAGCAATCTCACACCCTCGCGATCAAGACTATTTAAGGTTATGGGTAGGTAAAGGTATGAGGTGGAGCTATAGCAAGCACTAGCATATATGGTGGCTAACATACGCAAATGAGAGCGAGGAGAGAAGGCAAAGCACGATCGTGAATTAGAAGTGATCAAGAAGTGATCCTGAAACTACTTACATTCAAGCATAACTCCAACACCGTGTTCACTTCCCGGACCCTGCCGAGAAGAGACCACCACGGCTACACACGCGATTGATGCATTTTAATTAAGTTAAGTGTCAAGTTCTCTACAACCGGACATTAACAAATTCCCATCTGCCCATAACCGTGGGCACGGCTTTCGAAAGTTCAAAACCCTACAGGGGTGTCCCAACTTAGCCCATCACAAGCTCTCACGGTCAACGAAGGATATTCCTTCTCCCAGGAAGACCCAATCAGACTCGGAATCCCAGTTACAAGACATTTCAACAATGGTAAAACAAGACCAGCAAAGCCACCCAGATGTGCCGACAAATCCCGATAGGAGCTGCACATATCTCGTTCTCAGGGCACACCGGATGAGCAAGACGTCGGGTTAGCATAAACCCTGGTTGCCCAGGGGGCGCCGGACATCGCTTAGGTTGGACCAACACTTAGAGAAGCACTGGCCCCGGGGGGGGGGGGGGGTTAAAATAAATATGACCCTTGAGTCTGTAGAACCCAAGGGAAAAAGGCTATATGGCAAATGGTAAAACCAAGGTTGGGCCTTGCTGGAGGAGTTTTAATCAAGGCGAACTGTCAAGGGGTTCCCATTATAACCCAACCGCGTAAGGAACGCAAAATCAAGGAACATAACACCGGTATGACGGAAACTAGGGCGGCAAGAGTGGAACAAAACACCAGGCATAAGGCCGAGCCTTCCACCCTTTACCAAGTATATAGATGCATTAATCAAATAAGAGGTATTGTGATATCCCAACAATAACCATGTTCCAACATGGAACAAACTTCATCTTCACCTGCAACTAGCAACGCTATAAGAGGGGCTGAGCAAAGCGGTAACATAGCCAAACAATGGTTTGCTAGGACAAGGTGGGTTAGAGGCTTGACATGGCAATATGGGAGGCATGACATAGCAAGTGGTAGGTATCGCAGCATAGGCATAGCAAAAGAGTGAGCATCTAGCAAGCAAAGATAGAAGTGATTTCGAGGGTATGGTCATCTTGCCTGCAAAGGTCTCAGAGTAGACGAAAGCTTGATCCTCGTAAGCGTACTCAACGGGTACCTCGAACACGAACTCGTCTCCCGGCTCTACCAAAGGCAAGAACACAAGCAAAGGAAACAACAATCAACCACGGTGCAATGCGCAAGCAACATGATGCAAAACATGGCATGATATGCGGAATGTGATATGCAATGCGTATGTGAGCTCCGGAAGGAAAATATTGAACCAGGCCTCAACTTGGCAAACCAAGAGCGCCGCTGGAAAGATGAGTTGATTTCGGTCGAAATCGATATAAAGATCACTGGAATCGGATGCACGGTTTGCAAATGGCAAGCAAAACAATAATGGCACAATTCTGCGATTAACAGCACGATGCCATCTAGAATGCAACAAGAAACTAAGCTACTGCACTCCAACATAGCAACAAAGCA